AAAATAATCATCAACTCGAAAGCATGAAAAACGATAGTTTCTCTTCTAAAATGTGACGTCAAATCAATGTTCATAGTAAAATAATCTCTCGTACTTAGTAATACAGCATAAACTACAATGCACGCGCGCGCGAGCGGATCGCATCACGAAGTCACAACAAACAACAAAGGCAACCACCGCGCTCTCTGTCACTCGCATCGGTTCGCACCGGCTCGCATGGCTTTCATTCGCACCAGTCGCACCGCGAACGCCGTCCGCGCAACCGCGTAAGCGCAGTACAATATTGTTGCCGCCAAAATGGATCGCCATTACGTTTTTTGTAACGTGGAGTACGTAGCTATGGTAAGCAATTGTACGCGAGGGCAAATTATGATTCGCATGCCGCCCGTCAACTTTACGAGGAGCCGCGGCACATGGAGTCACTTCGTCTTCGCGGCTTCATTTTGTGACAGGACACTTAACTGGTGAAACGTACCTACAAATGCTACGTAGTGTTATCCCGGACTTACTAGATGACATTCCGTTAGCAGTGCCCATGGATGGCCTGTATTACCAGCACGCACGATGGTTGCCCTGCGCATTATCAGCACGCCGTGCGAGAGCACCTCGACTCGGTGTTTCCCCAGCGCTGGATCGGTCGTGGCGGGCCAGTGCCATGGCCACCACGAAGTCCGGATCTTACTCCAATAGACTTTTATTTGTGGTCTAATCTCAAACGCCTTGTGTATCGGCAAGAATACGAAACTCGCGACGCGTTAATAAGTGCGATAGTGGACGCTTTTGATATGATTAGACGTGACAGAGACACATTATTAAAATTGAAAGCCAATCAGTTAAAACGTGCACGATTATGTGTGGAACGCGGTGGCTTACACTTTGAACAATTGCTCCGTTACCGGGAAGTGTAAGTACTTGTACATTTGTAAATAAACAATAAGTTGTGTGATTAAAATCATTGTAAATACGTTGATTCCCATTTTTTAAATACACCTTAAATACTTTGCCAAATTCAGTAATAAACAAGATAATATCTCTTGATTAAATTTTGTTCATGTTTGTGTTTAGTAAGTGTAGTTAAAAAGTATTTACGACGGTCCCAAGCCCGTTAAAGTATGAAGGGAAAATGGAAATCACTTGTTAGTAAATACTGAGTTATCAGCCTTTTGATAAGCGCGAGCGACAATGACAGCGGCCGGTGGCCGGTCGCGGCGGTACTATTGGTTCGCGGTTTCTTTCAAGTTTCGTGTATCACTATCGTAAAACTGCTATTTTTTTATTTAAATTAAAAACAACTTTCTCAATCTATTGTACTACTAAGATAGAATCATTTTACTGTGGGAAAACAACCATTAAAATATCACGGTGTATATTGCCTATGTGAAATAAAAAAAAATGTTTTTTTGAAAAAAGTAACCAATAAAAAATACGAACAAAATGATTTTTAATTTACATGCAAATAAATAATTACCCTTTTTTGTTACGTTTAAAAAGTTATCAACGACATATTAATTTTATTATTTTAATACTGTCACACTATCGCAGTCAATATTTTTTTTCACATTATTTTTAAAACACATTTTCATATTATCGATATTATTTTTATCGAATTAGGCTACATCACTATCTGAGTAGAGACCCGCATTCGAGCCAGTGATAAGCCATTCAAATATCACCTTTATTCTTATGACGTTAACGTTCAAACCAAGTACCACTTTTCGTCGCTAGATGGCATTGTTAAACGCCATCTAGCGACGAATGGCGGTACTTGGTAGTCCAAAATATACTTTTTTATTTTGATTTATAGTGCATTGATTTTAAAGTTGCATATCGTATGATATTTTTTTTGCATTTCGTTTACGCCCATTTTTTTTTCTAACCAATCGTAACTTCCGATTTATAGTATGAGTAAATTATGAACGTATTAGTTTGGCGACACCGGTTCTGGCAGAAATATTGTTTCAAGCTACTTCCATTGTATTCTACATTCCATGGGCTATCCTATAACTGGTCCGATTAGGAAGGCTATAGGCCTTGCTCGATAGGGCTATCTAACACAAGAATATTTTATCAAATCGGAGCAGTAGTTCTTCAAAATAGCGCGTTTAAACAAACAAACCAACGCTTTAACTTTATATAATCGTATACCGCCCGAATACTGAAAGACTACTCAATTCTAAATTGTACTTAAATATAGTGCCATCTCTGTCATATTACATAGAATTTGTAGAGACAGAACTATACTTAAGTGCGACTTAAATACTTTATATCCTGCATCCCCGCGATGGATAGTAGAGGGTCAACCCTTGAACCCTGCACCAGCACTGGACCTGGAGTTCACTCGTCTCCTACAGCGGCCAGTGACATCAGGGGATTACTAAACCAGTGAGGAGTTAATCGGTGTATAGGCTTTTATCCAATATTTTCTACTGACCCTTATCTATCGACCTAATTACCAAGAACTTATAATAAACTAGCGGAGCCGACAGACGTTGTCCTGCATATAATATAATAATAGGTATAGATAAAATAACCTATACACCGACTGCAACGCCATCTGCCGGGCTGATTTGTGAATCATTGAATTGACATGAAAAATTCATCAAAATCGGTCCAGTCGTTTGAGAGAAGTTCAGTGACATACACACTCACAGAAGAATTATATATATATAAAGATGTTCCAGTTTTACTGTCTACTTACTTTTATTTAATATCCTACTAGGAACACCTCTGCCTAGGTTAGGTAGGATAAATTAGCGTAGCTGTAACTTAGTACCGGGACACTGGATTACAGCGTTCGATAATAAAAATGATATAAAAATTACCTCATTAGTTTAGTATATAAAAATTGTGACAACGATCCGTAATCAGTTCTTGGGACGAGCAAAATCTCATCAAATATGCTCGCCATAGGTTTTGCTTTAGCACTCCAAGGGTTAGTACAGGTTCCTGTAAAAAAAGAGCATAACATAACATGCCTTTTACCTCCGGAGGGGTAGGCAGAGGTGCACGTTATGGCACTTAATGTCATGTTGGTGGTCAAGGTGACATGTAATGACACAATGTCACTGTACAATGTAACACCCACATTTCACTATTCATGTTATGAGTCCCATGTAATAGGGGGTGAGCCTATTGCCATATACCGGGCACAATTCCAGACTCCGTGCTACATACATACATAACTTCATGCTTGTCTCCCATGGGGGTAGGCAGAGACTAAGGAACGACAATTACTCCGTGCTACTACTGAGTTTTTTTTTTAAAAACACCCAGTAATACTTTGCACGACCCGTGACCCCTTGCCTGGCACTCGCACTTGATACCACTCGGCCAACGAGGCGGTCCTACGTATCTCACGATTGTTACCTATTATCCTTACTAATATTATAAATCGGAAAGTGAGTTTGTTTGTTTGTTCCGACTTCACGCCGTAACTACTAAACCGATTGCATTGAATTTTTGCAAACGTAAAGTTAGTAGTCTGGATTAAATAATAAGGTACTTTTTATCCCGAAAAAATTTGATATTCCCGAGGGAAAACAAAAGTATTGGTATAGATGGCTTTTTATCCTTTTGTGACGCGAGCGAAGCCGCGGGTAAAAGCTAGTAAAAAATAACAATAATGTTATGTACCAATGAAAATAACTTTATCATCGACTGATATCTGTTTAATTTGTTTCGTTAGAGCCGCTTTAAGGACTTGAGCTTTAAGGTATTTGTCTTCCGGAGGCACCTGAAACAAATCAACAATTTAAAACGTTGAATATCTTTGATACGTGAATTTCCACGGCCTCACAGAAAACCAATGTGAAACAACGCTTGTGTTGTGTTTTGTCGTGTGCGTGAGGTCAAATTACCCCACTCCCTAATCTCCTCAAACCATTTCCATGCACGAATGGGCCGGCTCGACCGGAGTGATACCTTGGCCTCACAGAAGACCGACGTGAAACAATGCTCGCGTTGTGTTTCTCTTGTGAGCGAGGTTACCGGAGGCCCAATCACCCCCCCCCCCCCATCCCTAAATCCCCAACGATCCTCAAATTCCTAATCCCAAAATCCCGCTAACGCACTTGGACTTGGTGTTCCGCCAGATTGTTTACCATCAGGTGATCCGTCTGCTCGCGTACGGCACGGCGCGTTCCGCGCGCGTCTCATGGAGCCATCAGACCACCACGGTTGGGGCCTCATAGGGGTGATGCCGATACGGAGTCGCGGAGAACGTAAAATGTTACCGGTGCTACGGTTCGAAGTGCAGGAATAGGAACGGAACGGGGTGGTTTTTAGTCAATAAGAGTCTGACAGACCCTCCTACCTCACCCAGGTAGGAGAAGTCACTAGATGATTTTCCCCCCTTAAAAAAGAACCAATAAAAATGGTTGACTAGATTTGAAGAATAGTTAAATTTCATACCTTTGTAGCGAATACTCTTTCAACATTTTTCATGAATATTACAGCTGGCTGAAAGGCTTTTGCAGTTAGGAAAACTTGATTCAAAACTTTCAGAGGTTTATTGACCAGAGCAGTGAAAACTTCAGGTGTTATATCGATTTTTATGGCATCTGTAATAAATGGGTGATCTGAAATATTTTTATTTTTATCATAGTTCAAAAAAAGCATATTCTCAGTTTGACCGTACGTATATTTAGAGGTATATGTATGAACCAATCTTGATGCTGTTTTCAGAAAAGTACTTATCACACTTAGGAGAAAGTTTTAATATTATATTAATTAACCGACTTCAAACACAGGGGGGTTGAAGTCAGTTTTTTTAAACGTGGTTTATAAAAAAGGTTACTGCAGTCCTTTTGTCTATATTAAGTTCAGGGTCGGCTCAATTGGAGTAACAAAGCAGGAGTAGCACACAGCAATGCCAATCCTAAAACTGGCAATGCACTTCCGATTTTGTCTGGTATTGCTGAGATCATAGGAGGCGTCAATTACTTACCATCAGGCACTTGCCTGTTCATTTAGCCCCATAATAAAAAGGATAAAGTAATTTGCTATACACGAGAATCTTTCCAAAATATCACCCAAAAGATCTTACTCAACTCCCCAGCAACAGCATCAGCGAGGAACTGCTTTCCATTCCTCTCAGGACCTAACAGCATCACAGACTTTCTCCTGGTAGCTCCAGCTTGGATCCCACACCCCATTATACATGACAATCTTATTCTATCTTTGATATCACCATAAGCTGGAAAGGGGAACCTGAAAGAGGTTGAAGAATCATCGGTAAGTGTAGCGATGACAGAGTAGAATATATTTTACATGCATTTAAGTGTGGGAGAGCCATACTTCGGCATGAATGAGCCGGCTAGACCGGAGTGATACCACAGCCTTATAGAAAACCGGCGTGAAACAACGCTTCCGTTGTGTTTCGTTAGAGGCCTAATTACCCCTCCTTCCGGTATATGGCAATAGACTCACCCCTATTACATGGGACTCATAACATAAATAGTGAAAAGTGAATGTTACATTGTTCATAGTTCAGTGGCATAATGTGCACCTCTGCCTACCCCCTCGGGGATAAAAGGCGTGATGTTATGTTATGTTCTATTGATATGTAAATATATATATTAGACAAAGACTTTTTGTCCTTTTTTATTTGTGTCTTTGTCTAACCATATAACGTTGCTACCATCCGTGCGTCACTGCATGGGTGCCCACTGAAAATCAGTGATGGGTGACTCGAATGCCTGGCTTACACTGAGTGGGTGACCCTTTTAGCATAGGCATGTTGTCAGCGTCTCTCTTCTAATTCTTCTGTTTTATTTTATATGTTATTATTGTCTTTTTTATATGTTATTTATGCTGCATGGTTCCTGGTGCTTAATAAATGTTTTTCTATCTTCTTTCTTTCTTTCTTAAATAAATGTCAAACAAAAATGTACTTACGATGCATTAGGATCTATAATATTGAAATTATAAGCTGCATAATTCAAATCGCCGTACACTTCACTGAGTTTTGTTGTTGGTTTTGTGACTAAGTTCAGATCAAAGACTGGCTGGAAAAGGTTAAAAAGGTTGTTTTAGAACTCTTCTGTGAATAGATAAAGTTGAAAATCTGTTATAGATTGCAATATTAGATAGATTTGAGCATTATTTACCAGTACGTAAGCAAAAACTACAGAGTTCCACCTACTACAAATCTACGATCCTGACTTCTTTAGCTTCCATATCGTTCATCGACAGCTCGTGACAGTTTATACATAAAAGGGTATTTTTTTTAAGGGGGGAAAATCATCGAAGAGCTGCTCTCGCCTGGGTGAGGCGGGAGGGAATGTTCTGACATTCCCTCCCGCCTCAAAGAGTCTGCTCTTTCTGACTAAAAACCACCCCGTTCCTACTCCTGCACTTCGAGCAGGCAACCCATAAAGTCTTCCGCTGCTCCGTGACACGAGAAGAATTGGGGTGGTCATTAAAACCTACCGTCACCACTGAAGATATTGTGCTGAATGACCACTTACCGCGGTTTGCTTGATCAGCTTTTTGTCATAAATGACGGGTTTCGGTACCGGTGGCGCCTTAGGTTTCTTCCTAGGCTTGACTTTAGGAAACGTCTTGCCCATCGACTTGAAATCCGCCTGGTGTTTCTGTATTAGCATTTTTAGATCTAACCTGTCATTCGAGAAGTAAGATATATTGATAGTTTGGGAAAAATATGTTAGAAAAACGCGTTGGTCATATTGTGATGACGGCTCATAGGTCTCACACACATGGAAGAACCATGGGCATGGGCAAGCTCACCTAGCGTGAAAAACCGTTTCTTGGGTTGTTTTACCGTGTCAGTGAGGCTATCGGAGGCCTAATTCTCTCTATCCTAAAAGGCCAAAAACGCGCTTGAAACTCCGATGTCCGTGAGCGACGCTGATTACTAACCACAAGGCGAACCATATACTCCCGCTAAAAAAAAATGAATACATACATTTTTTTTGAGATACATAAGTCGTTAAACGAGCAGTCGTATCACCTGATGGTAACCAATCGGCGTCGTCCATGGACACCAGAAACATCAGAGGCATTACAAGTGCCTTAACGGCCTTTTGAATCCTTTGGAATTTGAGGATTCTTGGGATTAAGGGATTATCTGGTAACCTCACTCACTCGACGAAACATAACGCAAGCGTTGTTTCACGTCGGTTTTCTGTTAGGTCGTGGTATCACTCCGGTCGAGCCGGCCCATTGGACTCGCTTACTGCTACATGTCACACTCGTATAATTAGACATCAAACTTCACAAGGTACCTAAGTTCGTTTGATTCTTAATTAAATACTTCGTATCTCTCCAGAAGATGATTACATTTTACATGCAGCAGTATGCGAGTTGATGCTGCCCCTATCATTGGTGCCGAAGCATGGCTTTGTACTTAGTTACCTCATCATTTCATCGATAATCTTCCTGCACTCCAGATGCATATCCTTCATCAGATCCTCAGTCAGTAGCGGTTTCATGTACCCGTATATTGTTTCGCCAAACTTATCTTTTGGCATCTCATCAAAAAGAGACCACGCTGCCCTGTAGCCTATAAGAGCCTACGGGAAAAATTATCACGCTATAATAGTATACATTTGAAAGCTTCTTTGTTCGGATGTCTGTCCATCAATCACGCTGAAACTACTGAACAGATTGAGGTGTACAGGCAGGGTATGGGCTGACTTAGGTGATTTTTTTTTAAGTGGGGAAAATTTTCGAATTTCTGCTAAATTTTTAAGTGGGGAAAATTTTCGAATTCCTGTGGGAGTGTCAGACTCTTACTGACTCAAAACCACCCCGTTCCTATTCCTGCACGTCGGGCCGGAGCCCCGGTAACCCGTTAGGTTCTCCGCGACTGACTTAGCTCATAGGATGTCTTTCATCCCGATTAAATGCTCCCATGCGATAAAACAGGAATCCTATTCTACGCGGACCAAGTTGCGGGCAATAGTAAGTATTATATAAAGTACAAAATAGGGTATATGCATTTATTTATATTAAACGGTTTTATTGAGTTTTATTCCACAAACTCTTTCGTTTGATATTCATAATGGAGGTAGTTGTGGAAAAAGTAGATTATATTGCATGACCATCAAGATTAAGGGTTCGTACACAAAACTCCGATGTGATGCGAATTCACAACGCGAAAAATTACGATGCGAATTGCTGCGATGCGATTTCGTGCGACAAGGCGTCTCCCAGGGTGACCATTCCTTCGACGACCGTCAACCGTACAAAACGTATTTTAAATTGAAACGTAGGTCGTGACATGGTTTGTAAAAAGAACTGAATAAAAAACAAAGAAGATTTTGGGATTATAAGATTTTAATGCGCGATGCGAATCAATTCGCAAGTTCTTGCGTAGAGGGAACTCGCATATTTTTGCGATGCGACGTCGTAAAGCAGTTTTGTGTACGAGCCCTAAGAGTGTCTATGAAATATCAGATCGATCTGTAGTCAAGGCGGGGATAGAAATACAATTACTAAAGACCCAAGCAAACGAACGAGGCAAGCTAAATGAAATCGTGCAAACTATGTATATCATAAACATCCATAGCAGAGATTATGGACTGATAAGAATCCAATGCTGTAACATAGGCCACCTCCACAAAAAAAGGTATTTCATAATCATAATGCATGGAAAGTTAAAATGTCGTGGTGGCCCGGAGGTTTAAGACGCCCACTTCTCATGCTCATGCATGAGAAGTGGGCGTCTTGATGTGGGTGATGAGGGTGCGGGTTCGAAACCTACCAACGGCAAGTACCAATGTGACTTTTCCGAGTTATATGTACTTTCTAAGATTAATTAGACACCACTGACAAACGGTGAAGGAAAACATCGTGAGGAAACCTGGGCTTATAATTTCTAATTATAAGTTCGAAATCGCCAACCCGCATTGAGCAAGCGTGGTGATTAATGCTCTAACCTTCTCCGTGTGAGAAGAGGCTTTTGCTCAGCAGTGGGCATTTATAGGCTGTTGATGAAGAATCCAATGCTGTAACATAGGCCACCTCTACAATAGAATGGTTTTTTATTACTTTTTGTGTTCGATTAGCCGGTGGTAAGTGATTGGTCTTATCACCTGATGGTAAGCTTCAACGCCGCCAATAGATATCTCACACACCAAAGGCGTTACAAATGCGTTACCGGCCTTTTAAGAATTAGGAATTTGAGGATTGTGAGGGATTCGGGGATTGGGGAGACTGCAACGCCGTGGCATAATCCGGTCGGACCAACCCATTCATGCCGAAGCATGGCTCTCCCATATTTAAATAAATATATTCTACTTCACTGGCTGCCTCGTTGGCCGAGTGGTCGCAAGTGCGTCTGCCGTGCAAGGGGTCTCGGGTTCGATTCCCGGGCCGGGCAAAGTATTACTGGGTTTTTTTAAAAATTCTCAGTAGTAGCACGGAGTCTAGAATTGTGCCCGGTATATGGCAATAGACTCACCCCCTATTACATGGGACTCATAACATAAGTAGTGAAAAGTGGGTGTTACATTGTACAGTGGCATAATGTGCACCTCTGCCTACCCCTTCGGGGATAAAAGGCGTGATGTTATGTTATGTTATGTTATTCTACTTCACCTAGGACTGGTATACTTGTAATGTTTACCTCATTAAGTGATGGCAATGCAGCAGATTCCAGTATCTTATACCCAGGGTCAGAGAAGGGGTTGCATCGTGCCTTCACTAAGTTCTCATCTTCTTTTCGCTTTGCTTCTTTTGCCATCTGAGCTTTCATTTTCTTTTCTTCTTTCAATCTAGCCCTTTCTTCTTTCATCTGCAATATACCAGTATTTGTTTAATATTCAATAAGACGACGTTTACGCTGAAATACGCGAACGTCATGTTACGTAATTGGGTTTCTGGTAACCTCAATGATACGACGGTTTTCTGTGAGGCTGTGATATCACTTGAGCTGGCCCATTCGTGCCGAAGCATGACATCTTCTTCTCGATTTTGTAAAATCCACGATATTTGTTCATATATAAGTAGTCTCTAAACATCGAAGACAAGGTCTATAATGGAGTAAGTGGACCAGTTGTGAGCTGGGCAGTTGCTCAGTCCCTCTTGCCATACTTTTGTATTACCAAATGTTGTGGATTTTTCATAATCGAGGATTCAGAAGTTAATGATTCTACTACCTACCTGTTCTTTCGTTTTCCCTTTAGTTTCTTTTAATGTTTTTTCATCCATTTCTTGTTTTTCTTCTATAGATGGATAGTCGCCTCTTACAACTAGTATAGTACCTCCTTCGATTTCATAAGGGAATTCAGGAAAGAAGCCATAACCGTAGAACCTGAAATATTTGTCTTACTTTTTTCTGTCACGTAACATCATTACATCGCGCCTTTTATTCCCGAAGGGTTCGCAGAGGTGAACATTACGGCACTTAATGCCACTGTACAATGTAACACCCACTTTTCACTATTTATGTTACAAGTCCCATGTAATAGGGGGTGAGCCTATTGCCATATACCGGGCACATTTCCAGACTCCGTGCTACTACTGAGAATTTTTCAAAAAATCCAGTAGTAGTTTGTCCTACCCGGGAATCGAACCCGAAACCCCGGCAGTCGCACTTACGACCACTCAACCAACGAGTTCTTTAAGTCCAATTAGATTTCCAACTTTGTTGTTCTGATATAAGGTCGAAAATACGATAAAAATAGTGCTAGTAATACAGACTAGTGGCGTCTGTACATCACATAGCCACTCCGCAAATGAAAATCAACTGCTGGATTGTGGACTTTCATCAAAGAGTAACGAATGGAGTTTCTTACTCGTTCTTCTCCATTCGAAACTACACTGAACGAGCGCCTAACTTCACTGACAGACAGACGGACGATCAATTTAATTTTTGACGTTTCAAAAGATTATTTTTGGAAAGATTAAAAAAAATCCGCTAGGGGCAGCACTGGTGAGGGACAACTAGATCAAACGTACGTCTTATTATCCTTACTAATATTATAAATCAGAAAGTGAGTTTGTTTGTTTGTTCCGCTTTCACGCCGTAACTACTAAACCGATTGCTTTTAATTTTTGCAGACATAAAGTTCGAAGTCCGGATTAAATAATAGGGTACTTTTTATCCCGAAAAAAATAAACATTCCCGAGGGAAAACTAAAAGTATTGGTATAGATGGCGCTGTGTGTATTGGTATATATCACATAGGCTACTTTTTATCCTTTTGTAACGCGAGCGAAGCCGCGGGTAAAAGCTAGTTATAAGAATAAATAAAAACCGCAGAGGATATATAGACCTTCCTCATGAGCAGCATGTGCGGTCGTGGCGATAGGCTGCGCGACATCGCCCCATGAGGAAGAACACTTCTGTGGTTCGAAACTACCGTTCAGCTGTTAAATCTACAATGTGTCCCTCAGTCGGGTATACGACACCCGCGGGAAGAATAAGGGTGGTAAAAATACCTTACCATTCCTTGAACCAGTTCCTGATCTCATCAGTGATATCATCTATTTGGTTTCCCTTCTTGAACATAAGTATTCGTGTATTTTCTTTTTCTAATTCTTTTAGATACGTCGTGTTTATTTTAAGTCTTGTCATCTTTCGCCTTTCGTATATCTGTAACATTAAATAAGATTTTACGTTCGATTCCTAGAACAGGTAAAGTATAGTTTTGAACCAAAATTGATTTTACCTACAACACTTTGTCAAATCATTATTCTAGAATTAATTATGTATGAATTAATTATGTATGTATTCATTAATTTATGCACAACACAAAGACAGTACACGGGAGAATATATGTATAATTATATAAATAAATTGTACTATACACTGTACAATGTAACACCCACTTTTTACTATTTATGTTATGAGTCCCATGTAATAGGAGTTAAGCCTATTGTCATATACCGGGCACAATTTCAGACTCCGTGCTACCACTGAGATTTTTTTTTAAATCCAGTAGTACTTAGCCCGATACGGGAATCGAACCTGAGACTTCTTGCCCGGCAGTCGTACTTGCGACCACTCAGCCAACGAGGCAGTCGTGGGTGGTGTTACTTTAATTTAAAACCGTAGGTTACTCACGTGAATATACTGAGAAAAGCTCTACTAGTTTCGAGCCACAGAGGGGCTCTTCCTTAAGAGCAGCGTGCGCGGTCGTGGCGATATCGCGCAGCCTACGCCTATCACCGCGTCCTCGGCGTCCTCACCTACCGCCTGACGCAGGTCCTCACCGGACATGGAAGTTTCGGGAGGTACCTGTGTCTGATGGGGCGGGAGGAAACGCTCGGGTGTCATTACTGCGAGGACCGCCTCAGGGCGTGTGGAACACACTGTAGCGGAATGCCGAAGTGATCGGTGATAGCGACCTCTCGCGTCCGGGCCTAGTGCAGGCCATGATGCGGAGCGAGGGGGACTGGGAAGCCGTCTCCTCCTTTTGCGAAGCAGTCATGCTAGCTAAGGAGGAGGCGGGACGCGTGAGGCAGCGAAGCGCTGCCTCCTCGCAACCCAGCCATCGCGAAGGACACACCGGGCGTCGGGAATCGCGGGACCATCTCCGGCCACCGTAAGCGCGGGCCTGAGGAAGGCGAGCATGGGTGGGTCCCCGTCCGACCAGAAACAGACCCGAGCGTACGGCGCGTCGCGTTCCGCGCGCGCCTCAAAGAGCCATCAGACCACCACAGATGGGGCCCAATAGGACCGATGCCGATTCGGAGTCGCGGAGAACCTAACGGGTAACCGGGGCTCCGGCTCGACGTGCAGGAGAAGGAACGGGGTGATTTTTAGTCAGTAAGAGTCTGACACTCCCTTCCGCCTCACCCAGGCGGGAGCAGTCATTCGATGATTTTCCCCCCTTAAAAAATAAATAAATAAATGTTCTTAGTATATTCACGTGAGTAACCCGCGATTTGTAGTTAATTTAGTACGTCTCACGATATAATTATTATAAAAACAAAGGCGTTACTTTATTATTTTCCTCGACATAACTTAGGCCGGTTTTGAATGCATCAGGAATTAGACCCAGTATAGTGTCCCTCTTCACTTGCTTCACTTTTTCACGTTTCTGTTTCATATATAGCCTGAAAACAGAGATTTCTTATGCTACGTCCTGTGTGAGCGATGTAAAAGCGAATGCGGAGCGATACGAAAACAATAAACGGTCGAAACATATTAAAGTGTCCTATGGGACAATATACGCCCGTGGGATGCGGTGTGGGGCGGCGCAATATGACGCAGTCGCGATCAATTGGTTTGATATTTATGCGTGAACTGTCATATTTGATCTGCCATGTTATTATCCTTATCCTTACTAATCTTATAAATCGGAAAGTGAGTTTGTTTGATTGTTTGTTTGTTCCACTTTCACGCCGTAACTACTAAACCGATTGCTTTGAATTTTTGCAGACGTAAAGTTAGAAGTCCGGATTAAATAATAGGGTACTTTATATTCCGGAAAAATTTGATATTCCCGAGGGAAAATAAAAGTATTGGGATAGATGGTTATTGGTATATAATATGTCACAGGCTACTTTTTATCTTTTTGTGACGCGAACGAAGCCGCGGGTAAAAGCTAGTTTGGTTATAATGACGGAAACAAAAACGAAGCGAAACGATTCGCGTGTACATAGGACATAGCCGCTGCATCCCACCGGCAGCTGTAGCCAAATCCCATTTAGCGCTTGTCTACATGTAGAATAGAAAACCAAATTATATGGAATAGGGTAGATGCCTAATTTTTATTTGAATGTCCGTCTGGTATAGATTATTTTAAATCATTAGACACGTATTTTTTATTTTCTTACGGAAACGAATACTTTCGACGATATATTGATTTCAAATATCGCGTGACGTCACTTCTATGTACATTTTATACGTAGAAATGACGTTTTAACCCCCACTCCTAAACTTTGATTCATTTTATCTAAGTATTGTTTTATTATACGACAAAATAAAAAAATACGTGTCTAATATTTTTTCATTACCTTAAGGAATAATTAGATTTTTAATTTTCATAACCTGTCATCATCCCAATTGACGTAAATTTTGACACTTGTCAGTGTCATCCCCATACATTTAATTTTCTAGTCTCTCTGTAGACAAGCGCTAAAGTGGCGTTTGGCTAAAGGCACGGATCGGATTGAATTCGCGTGACAACGCTTCATAATCGCGTTAGCATCCAGAGACCTTAAAATCATTACCTTTATTATAAATCGGAAAGTGAGTTTGTTTGTTTGTTTGTTTGTTCCACTTTAACGCCGTAACTACTAAACCGATTACTTTGAAGTTTTGCAGATGTGAAGTTAGAAGTCTGGATTAAATAATAGGGTACTTTTTATCCCGGAAAAAAATATATTCTCGAGGGAAAACGAAATTATTAGTATAGATGGCGCTGTGTGTATTGGTATAATAATATGTCACATAGGCTACTTTTTTTCCTTTTGTGAAGCCGCGGTTAAAAACTAGTAAAAAATAAAATACATTTGTTTTAGGTGATCATAACCCATATTGTTACATTACTCAGATAAAATAGATTCATAAGTAAAGATACAATAATTTCATTTAGGACTTAGTAAGGGTTAGACTTAGCACCTTAGTAGGTACGAGTATGTAGGTACCCGTTCGACGCTATGATTGGCCGGCTTCAATGAACCAACCAATCAGCGTCCAACGCGGTCTCGTGTTGATTACTTTAAACATAAAAGAAATTCGTACGAATGCCTCAGATCGCTCACACAGGACGTAGCGCTAGTGATTTTATAGCCATATCTTCAAACCATCTATGAACTAAGAGTTACATAGCGTGAGAGAGCATTAAACTCACCTCTTACCTGAATTCGTTTTCATTATAAGGTGTAGGTGACACCTTTCGCTAAGTATCACTTAGCTTAGGGTGATAAATATGATGACTAAGATAATGATAATCAACAACATCGACAGCCTATAAATGCCAACTGCTGAGCCAAGCCTCTTCTCACACGGAGAAGGTTTGAGCATTAATCACCACGCTTGCTCAACGCGGGTTGGCGCAAACTTATAATTAGAAATTATAAGCCCAGGTTTCCTCACGATGTTTTCCTTCACCGTTTGTCAGTGGTGTCTAAATAATCTTAGAAAGTACATACATATAACTCGGAAAAAGTCACATTGGTACTTGCCGCTGGTAGGTTTCGAACCCGCAGTCTCATGTATGAGAAGCGGGCGTCTTAAACCTCCGGACCACCACGACACGACAAGATAATAATGATGTTTATAAAATACCTGTGAACTTTCTGGATGACATTTGCAGCCCTGTGTTTCAATTCATCAGGCGCTTCCTGAGCAGTTTCCAGGAAATACAACTTTCGTTGAGCAGCTTTGCTTTTTATGTCAGACATTCGCCATTGTCTGTAAATTAAGAAATAAATATTACAGTGAAACCTGGTCAAGTGAGAGATCAAGGGACCTGCAATGTCGTTTCACTTATAGAGGTATTCCACTTACCCAGTGTCTCAGATATACAGGTATAAATAAGTGTCTCATTTACAGAGGGTTCCATTAATAGAGGTGGACTTGGAATTACGTGTGGAATTTGTGGGTAGAATAAGAATGAGTAAACAAACAATGTTATCTCAGTTACTGAGGTTTATGCATAAAAAATGTACTCGCTGTCTCAGTTATAGAGGTAACTATGGTGATAAATCGAAAGAACAAATCCCAGATATAGAGGTTTACCTCGTCCCACTAATAGAGGTAATTCAGTGCCAAAGTGTTGGGACCTCAGCAGAAAAAGTCACATTGGTACAACCCCATCGGGTTGTACCAATGTGACTTTTTGAGAAGGGTTTAACCGTCGGGTCACCACGATTATCATACCTGCAGATTAAATAATTGTAGATTGCACATTGCTTTACCTGTATCTCTCATGCTTCTGTATAATGTTCATAAACGTAAACGTTTTCGGAATCTCAGGCTGGACCTCTATTTTTTCTTTAACTGAAATCGAAATATATATGAACTCAAGCAACTCTGACTGTCTCATTGGCCGAGTGCTGGGCAATGGGTCTCGGATCGATTCCCGGGAAAGTATTATTATTATTAGTTTGCTCAATGCGGGTTGGCGATTTCAAACTTATAATTAGAAATTATAAGTCCAGGTTTCCTCACGATGTTTTTCCTTCACCGTTTGTCAGTGGTGTCTAAATAATCTTAGAAAGTACATATAACTCGGAAAAAGTCACATTGGTACTTGCAGTTAGTAGGTTTCGAACCCGCACCCTCATGCATGAGAAGTGGGCGTCTTAAACCTCCGGGCCACCACGACACGACACGATAGATACGATTATCCTGAACTCGAAAATACCAATATCAGACATTTTCCGCGTAGCGTTCGATCTGACCACAAAAACGCCAAACAAAAAAAATGTCTCATACCAATACGTCTGAAACCCTTTTTTATTAGTAAATTTTGGTTATTTGATGCGAACAAAACAATTTTCAGACGGAAATGTGAACGCATTAAATATTGAGACCGTTTTGAAAATGTTAACAAATTTTACCGATCGGTATCATGGCAATATGTCTGAAAATTGTTGGACATGATAAAATAAGTTGTCCACATGGGCAAAAAATTTATATCAGACAAAATAAGTGTAGCACCTTCTCTATCAGACAACTTTTCGATACTCAGATATTTTTGACACAGCAGAAATGGCCTCCCGCGCAGTTGCTACACTTTCGACCGTTACTACACACCTAGTCGGGTTCAGAATCATACAATCTAACGATTTTATAGGGTTTTTGCCGTATTGCTATGAGACATGGTTTTGGTCGTCATCTCTCGTACTATATGAAAATAAGGTATCCTCCTTACTGCTAGCAGAATCTCCAGATTGCTTATCTTGTTCGGGAGCTGGTGGTGGCTCTGGTGGCACTCCACCTTCATCTAATCCGGTATTTGAGAAAGCCTTGATTTTCGAGGTCACTGGCTTGGGCTGTTCGAATACCAGGAGTTTTTCGGGTAAGCAGAAGTAGAAGCAAATGAGAAAAGGGCAATCCTAACTAATATTATAAATCGGAAAGTGAGTTTGTTTGTTTGTTTGTTTGTTCCGCTTTCACGCCGTAACTACTAAACCGATTGCTTTGAATTTTTGCTGACGTAAAGTTAGAAGTCTGGATTAAATAATAGGGTACTTTTGATCCCGGATAAATTTGATATTCTCGAGGGAAAACGAAATTATTGGTATAGATGGCGCTGTGTGTATTGGTACATGTCACATAGGCTACTTTTTATCCTTTTGTGACGCGAGCGTAGCCGCGGGTAAAAACTAGTTGTCTAATAAATAGAACTTTAACACGTCAATATTGTGAAATTGTGATTATGATGATGACAAATTAAAAATATTTTCGGCAAAAAGTTAATAAATATTTTCTTTTTAAATCTGTATAAGGGTAGTTCCTAAATACACCGTTGAATTGGATAGATGACTAATTTTTATTTCAAAATCCGTCTGGTAGATAATTTTAAATCATTACACACGTACTTTTTATTTTTTACACGTACAGAAACAAATACTTTCGACGATATATTGATTTGAAATGTCGCGTGACGTCACTTCTATGAACGGTTTATACGTATAAATGACGTTTTAGCTCCCACTCCTAAACTTTGATTCGATATATCTAAGTATAATTTTATTATACATCAAAATAAAAAATACGTGTCTAATATTTTTTCACTACCTAACTGATGGACTAATTAATTTTTAATTTTCATACCCTGTCATCATCCCAATTGTATGCATGTATAAGGCACAATATTGGTGCACCCATGTAAATAACATCAATTTTTTATGGAATAATCCGGTAAACAGGCAGACGGACCACCTGATGGTAAGTCGGTACCGCTCATGGACACCGAAACACCGGAGGTGTTTGTTACCGGCCTTATGAGGATTAGGAATTTGAGGATTGTTGGCGATTTTTTGGGGGTTCCATAAATCTGGATTTTATTAAAAGGATAAAAAACAGGGTTTTTCAAGAAACTTTCTGTCTCGCACAGCAAAACTGGAATAATCTGTCGTCGGCTGTATTTCCGACCCGATACGACTTTCAATGTTAATTTTAATTTAGTTTGTAATTAGGTGTATTATGTTCCATAATGTAGACAGAGAAGATTATTGTCTGTAAACACACTAGATTAAGAACATACTATAAAAATTTTGTATGTCTGTACAGACACAATGTGGCGCACTACCATAATATTATCTACCATCTATTTTAAGATACCCGCGAAGGACACACCGGGCGTCGGGGATCGCGAGACGATCTCCGGCCACAGTAAGCGCGGGCCTGCGGACGGCGAGCATGGGTGGCTCCCCGTCCGACCAGAAACAGACCCCAGCGTACGGCGCATCATGTTCCGCGCGCGCCTCAAAGAGCCATCAGACCACCACAGATGGGGCCCAATAGGGCCGATGCGCATTCGGAGTCGCGGAGAACCTAACGGGTAACCGGGGCTCCGGCTCGACGTGCAGGAGAAGGAACGGGGTTGATTTTTTAGTCAGTAAGAGTCTGACACTCCCTTCCGCCTCACCCAGGCGGGAGCAGTCATTCGATGATTTTCCCGCCTTAAAAAAAAAATGTAACATACCTACATTGACGAAATAAATAATATTTGTATTTGTATTTCAAACCTTCAAGAAAAGAGCGTATTCATTTTTGAAAGGCCAACTTGACAAATGTCTCCTCTAGTGTTTCATTTCAGGTGTCCATGGGCGGCGCTAATCGCTACCATCAGGGGGCTCTTGAATCCAATTCCGATCGATCGACATTGACATTGTAAAATTTCGTCTTGAGTTGCAACACTAGCGCCTAATGCATCCGTATTGCGTGGATATTGAATGAACTAATTGGTATTGAGTTTGGTTTTATATTCCGTACTCTGAATGCTATTTTAACAGCTACGGTAGCGGTTGTATAGCTTTGACATTGGATTGGAGATTTTATAGGATTGAAATTGCATTGACATTGAGATTGGTTTCAAGAGTAAGCACCCAGGTGATTCGTCTGGTTATTTGCCTCCTATTCCAATAAAAACTGAATTCTTCTATCTGGTAGCTTATACTTCCAACCAGCCGATCTGTAGCATTGGGGGGGGGACGATGCGAGGTAGTGAATCTTGTAGCTGATATGATGATGATGATGATGTAATGTATACCTCTTCTTGGTCTTGCATATCAAGTATACTTTGCCCTTTGGTTTTTCTCTTAACAGCGTCTGCCCACAATTTTTGTAGAAATTTCTCTACCGAGTCCTTCCGGCATTCCAGGGGGAAATGGTAAGGAACTATTATCTGGAAAATGGAGAAGAGGACTTATTTAGATGAACTAGTAAGAGTTTTATACTGTCTTCAATCATAACATAACATAACATCAGGTAGGCAGAGGTGCACACAGAAGTAACACCCACTGTTCACTATTCATGTTATGAGTCCCATGTAATAGGGGGTGAGCCTATTGCCATATACCGGGCACAATTCCAGACTCCGTGCTACTGAGAGAAAGAAATATATATATTTTTTTAAAACCCAGTAATGCTTTGCCCGACCCGGTAATCGAACCCGAGACCCCTTGCACTTGTGACCACTCGGCCAACGGCGCAGTCTTCAATCAATTACACCGTAAATGGTTAATTGAGAAAATATCATCACGCTTACCTCTATATCAAAAGGGGTCATCTGTAGTTGAACTAATGCAGCGTCAAAGTAGACATAGTCGTTGACTATCACATGTACTAGCTCATCGCGAAGTTCAAACAATCTGGAGAAATAAAAGAGATAACATAACATCCCACCTTTTATATCCAAAGGGGTGGGCAGAGGTGCACATTATGCCACTGTACAATGTAACACCCACTTTTCACTATTTATGGCATGAGTGGCGACCGGAGTGATACCACGGCCTCACAGAACCGACGTGAAACAACGCTTGCGTTGTGTTTCGTCGTGTGAGTTAGGTTACCGGAGGCCCAATCCCCCCCCCCCCCTTTCCCAATTCCTGAATCCTCAAACTCTTAATCCCCAAAAGACCGCTGACGCACTTATAACGCCTCTGGTGTGCCAGGTGTCCATGAGCGGCGCCGATTGCTTACCATCAGGTGATCCGTCTGTTCGTTTACCGGCTTATCCCATAAAAAAAACGCCTATGGTGTTGTAAGGAATATATCGTGAGCCATCAGTAAGATGAGGGTAACATTCATTGTGATAATACTAAGGACTGTTCATCATCAACAGCCTATAAATGCCCACTGCTGAGCAAAGCCTCTTCTCACACCGAGAAGGTTTGAGCATTAATCACCACGCTTGCTCAATGCGGGTTGGCGATTTCAAACTTATAACTAGAAATTATAAGCCCAGGTTTCCTCACGATGTTTTTCCTTCACCGTTTGTCAGTGGTGTCTAGATAATCTTAGAAAGTACATATAACTCGGAAAAAGTCACATTGGTACTTGCCGTTTGTAAGTTTTGAACCCGCACCCTCATGCATGAGAAGCGGGCGTCTTAAACCTCCGGACCACCACGACTAAGGACCGAAAGACTGTTGGATGGGATAAATCTGTAGTGACCATTAAGAGACAGTTTATGTAGTCATGTAAAAAGGTAATTGCGTTTCTATTGAAAAATTCTAAGTAGTTATTCATATAGTCCATGAGCGGTGCCAATCACTCGCCATCAGGTGATCCGTCTATCCTTCTGTCTTCTAAAAGACCAGTAAAAGACCGTACAAACCTCTTCATACAAATATTGATAATCTCCTGTATGTATGTGGCTCTCTGCAGATGTACATTGTTTAAGAAGGCGTCATACATCTGGTTGATGAGGTAGCAGTATCTGCTATAGTTTCTGCCAAGTATTTCTGGTGGGATTGCACGCTCTTTTATGCGTATTCCTTTTGCTGTGAAATTCTGAAATGTATGTACATAGACAGGGTAAGCGGCAGAAGTGGAAACTTAAGTATTAACGTTGTGCGTTTTGGATATTTTGGAATGGTTGGGGAATAATTTTGCAAGAATTGCTTTAATCAATCAATCAATCAATTTATTTATTCAGATAATACAATCCATATGGTTAGTAAAGACATATACAACTTATAAACTAGTACTAGTACATCAAACCTCAACATATCTTTTAATCCTTACTTATATTATAAATCGGAAAGTGAGTTTGTTTGTTCCGCTTTCACGCCGTAACTACTAAACCGATCGCTTTGAAATCTTTCAGACGATAAGATACAAGTCTGGATTAAATTATAGGGTACTTTTTATCCCGAAAAATTAATATTCCCGAGGGAAACAAAAATATTGGTATAGCTGGCGCTGTGCTATAAGCTATAAAATTAGTAGCTACGCTACTTAGCGATAGATGGCACTGAGTTTTTGAAAAACTTGCTTATGGTATGTTTTTTTAAAGTATTATTCGTATATGTATGTATTATATAGTAATTATATCATATTATATGTATGCATATTTGGGATATATATTTATTATATAATTCATTTTAAGACCCTATACCCTTAGTTATGTATTATCGACTTAAACAATCATGTCTTCCCTCTTCAATATTTTATTACCTTAACTTCGTTATCTACTTCATACTTTCTTTTTACAATTTTGCACCTACCGCTTTAACATTCTGCACCACCCAATGGTCGACTGTCAGAAAATGCCTACGGCATTAAGTCCGCCAATTTCACTATATGTGCAATAAAGTTTTAATAAATAAATAATAAATAAATATTCGCTTTAAAATTTTGGTTGCTACCATTTTACAATAAATAGTATATTTTATAGATTTAAGGATGTTAAAGGTACCTATTCGGTGCACTTTTCCACTCATTTTTTCGCTGTTTTATAAGTCAACGAATTACTAATTGGTATCTATGTAGTAGTTACGCTACTTAGCGATAGATGGCGCTGAGTCTTTAAAAACTTGGTAACGGTGTGTTTTTCAAGTTCTTTTCGCTTTAACATTTGGTTCCTACCATTTTACATTAATTTGTGTATTTCATAGATTTAAGGATGTTAAAGGTACCTATTCGGTGCACTTTTCCACTCATTTATTTGCTATTTTATAAATCAACGAATTTCTAATTGGTATCTATTTAGTAGTTACGCTACTTAGCGATAGGTGGCATTGGTTGTCCGAAAAACTTGGTAACGGTGTGTTTTTCAAGTCCTTTTCGCTTTCAGATTTTGGTTCCTACCATTTTACATTAAATAGTGTATTTTATAGATTTAAGGATGTTAAAGGTACCTATTCGGTGCACTTTTCCACTCATTTTTTCGCTGTTTTATAAGTCAACGAATTTCTTATTTGTTTAAATGTAGTAGTTGTGCTACTTAGCGATAGATGGCACTGAGTTTTTGAAATACTTGCTTATGTTATGTTTTTAAAGTATTATTCGCTTTAAAATTTTGGTTCCTACCATTTTACATTAAATTGTGTATTTTAAAGATTTAAGGGTGTTAAAGGTACCTATTCGGTGCACTTTTCCACTCATTTTTTCGCTGTTTTATAAGTCAACGAATTACTAATTGGTATAAAAGTAGTAGTTACGCTACTGAGCGATAGGTGGCGTTGGTTGTTGGACAAACTTGGAAACGATGTGTTTTTCAAGTTCTTTTCGCTTTTAAATTTTGGTTGCTACAATTTTACATTAAATTGTGTATTTTATAGATATAAGGATGTTAAAGGTATACGAATAGGTATTCGTGCACTTTTCGACTCATTTATTTGCTTTTTTATAAGTCAACGAATTACCAATTGGTATAAAAGTGGTAGTTACGCTATTTAGCGATAGGTGGCGCTGAGTGTTTGTAAAACTTGCTTATGTTATGTTTTTAAAGTATTATTCGCTTTAACATTTTGGTTCCTACCATTTTACAATAAATTGTACCTTTTATAGATTTAAGGATGTGAAAGGTCACTTTTCCACTCATTTATTTGCTGTTTTATAAGTCATCGAATTACTAATTGGTAATGTATTAGTTACGCTACTTAGCGATAGATGGCGCTGAGTGTTTGAAAAACTTGGTAACAGTGTGTTTTTCAAGTTCTTTTCGCTTTAACATTTTGGTTCCTACCATTTTACATTAAATTGTGTATTTTATAGATTTAAGGATGTTAAAGGTACCTATTTGGTTCACATTTCCACTCATTTTTTTGCTGTTTCATAAGTCAACGAATTACTAATTGGTATAAAAGTAGTAGTTACGCTACTTAGCGATAGGTGGCATTGATTGTTGGAAAAACTTGGTAACGGTGTGTTTTTCAAGTTCTTTTCGCTTTAACATTTTGGTTCCTACCATTTTACATAAAATTGTGTATTTCATAGATTTAAGGATATTAAAGGTATCTATTCGGTGCACTTTTCGACTCATTTATTTGCTGTTTTATAAGTCAACGAATTTCTAATTTGTATGAATGTAATAGTTACGCTACTTAGCGATAGATGGCGCTGAGTGTTTGATAAACTTGCTTACGTTATGTTTTTAAAATATTATTTACTTTTACATTTGGTTCCTACCATCTATATATATTAAAGAAAGTCGTGTTAGTTACACCACTTATAACTCAAGAATGGCTAAATCGATTTGGATGAAAATTAGTGGGGAGGTAGCTTAGAACCAGGAGACGGACATAGGATACATTTTACCCAATTCTTGTTTTTTTACTTTTTACCGAAAATCAAGAACGGGATCGGGAAATATCAGGATTGCGCGTACGAAGTCGCGGGCAGAAGCTAGTTTTACAATAAATTGTGTATTTCCTAGATTTAAGGATGTTAAAGCTACCTATTCGGTGCACTTTTCCACTTATTTATTTGCTGTTTTATAAGTCAACGAATAACTTATTGGTATAAATGTAGTGGTTACGCTACTTAGCGATAGGTGGCACTGAGTGTTAAAATACTTGGTAACGGTGTATTTTTCAAGTTCTTTTCGCTTTAACATTTGGTTCCTTCCATTTTACATTAAATTGTGTATTTTATAGATTTAAGGATATTACCTCTAAAGCTATTCGGTGCACTTTTCGACTCTTTATTTGCTGTTTTATAAGTCAACGAATTTCTCATTGGTATAAATGTAGTAGTTGCGCTACTTAGCGATAGATGGCGCTGAGTGTTTATAAACTTACTTACGTTATGTTTTTAAAGTATTTTTCGCTCTTAAATTTTGTTTCTACCATTTTACATTAAATTGTGTATTTTATATATTTAAGGATGTTAAAGCTACCTATTCGGTGCACTTTTCCACTCATTTATTTGCTGTTTTATAAGTCATCGAATTACTAATTGGTATAAAAGTAGTAGTTACGCTACTTAGCGATAGATAGCGCTGAGTGTTTAAAAAAACTTGGAAACGGCTTCTTTTTCAAGTTCTTTTCGCTTTAACAGTTTTGTTTCTACCATTTTACATTAAATTGTGTATTTCATAGATTTGAGGATGTTAAAGGTACCTATTCGGTGCACTTTTCCACTCATTTATTTGCTGTTTTATAAGTCAAAGAATTTCTAAATTATGTAGTAGTTAAGCTACTTAGCGACAGATGGCGCTGAGTGTTTAATAACTTGGTAACGGTGTGTTTTTCAAGTTCTTTTCGCTTTAACATTTTGGTTCCTACCATTTTACATTAAATTGTGTATTTCATAGATTTGAGGATGTTAAAGGTACCTATTCGGTGCACTTTTCCACTCATTTATTTGCTATTTAATAAATCAACGAATTTCTAATTGGTATCTATTTAGTAGTTACGCTACTTAGTGATAGGTGGCGCTAGGTGTTTGAAAAACTCGGTAAAGATGTGTTTTTCAAGTACTTTTTGCTTTAAAATTTTGGTTTCTACCATTTTACATTAAATTGCTTATTTTTAACGTTTTAGGTTATTAAAGGTACCTATTCGGTGCACTTTTCGACTCATTTATTTGCTGTTCTATAAGTCAACGAATTTCTAATTGGTATCTATGTAGTAGTTACGCTACTCAGCGATAGATGGCGCTGAATACTAATTTCCTACCTAACAAGCTTTGTTATTATCGATATTGGGTTTAATATCTACATCTATACATGCTGATCGTGGTAGCTAAGGAGGAGACGTGACGCATTAGGCAGCGAAGCGCTGCCTCCTCACAACCCAGGCTCCCAACTCCGGCTCGAAGTGCAGAAGAAGGAACGGGGTGGTTTTTAGTCAGTAAGAGTCTGACACTCGTTTCCTCCTCACCCAGGCGGGAGAAGTCATTCGATAATTTTCCCCCCTTAAAAAAATAATACCTGTTGATCCATATCATCTGCCACGGCATCTTGAGCAGCCTGTATAATTTGCAGCCATTTTTCATGCACTCTTGTTGTATTAGCCAAACTCTTCGGTAATGTGAGTAAAGACATTGTTAATTTATCGCTGAAATTGTGAAACAACGTTTAATGCGTGAGAGAGCTATGCTTTGGTACGAAGTAGCTTGACGAGTCATACCATGGTATGACTCGTCAAGCTACTTCGTATGGATATACTACGTATGTACTACGTATACTACGTACGTACGTATGGATATACTACGTATATACTACGTATACTACGTATGGCCTTTAGAAACACTGGCGTGAAACAACGCTCGCGTTGTGTTTCGTCTTTTGGGTGAAGTTATCTGTTGGACTAAAAGGCCGGTAACGCAGGTGTGTACCGGCCTTTTAGTCCCTCTTAGTTAGTCCCTAGTTAGTTAGTTAGTTGGAAGAACCCCTCTATTACTTGAAACTAGTAGAGGTTTTCTCAGTATGTTCACGTGGATAACCCGCGGTTTTTAGTTAATATAGTCATCACCATCATCATATGAGCCACAAGACCTACTGCTGCACATGGGCCCCCCTCAATGACTTCCAGATAGGTCGGTTCGAATCGACGTGTAGTTAGCATCCTATTAATATTATAAACGCGACAGTTTGTATATTTGTTTGTGTTACTCAACATAAAATCAAGCATTTTATCCCCGAAAGGGTAGGCAGAGGAAGACATCACGGCACTTAATGCCACTGCACAATGTAACACCCACTTTTCACTACTTATGTTATGAGTCCCATGTAATAGGAGGTGAGCCTATTGCCATATACCGGGCACAATTCCAAACTCCGTGTCATTACTGAGAATTTTTTCAAAAAGCTTTTCCTGACCCGGGAATCGAACCCGAGACGCCTTGCCCGGCAGTTGGACTTGCGAACACTCGGGCAACGAGGCAGTTCTTTGTTATTTCTTCACGTTAATATGGTTTACGGGATAAATGGTGTAGAGGTAGAGGAGATTGTCTCAAATAACACATAGGCTACTTTTTGTCCCACAGGAACACGGGCGAGGCGAATGGCAGAAGCTAGTTATACACAGACCAATAGTTACTTACGATTCAATAAAAAATATTTCAATTTATACACTTCATTATAATTTTTAAAACACAAGAATTTAGTTATAATTTACATTAACTGAAATTTAATTCACGTTATAATTTGAATTATTAAATAATAAATTAAATTAAATACGATAATTTTGATGTCATCATTTTGACAATAATGTTGATAGATGATGTTTTAAAATCTTTGAACAGTTCTATGATAGAAGAGGTTGTTCTATTATATTTTTGGTTTTTTGGTATTTCTATCTGTTTTAGGGTGGTTTTAGGGCTCATACATAAAACTGCGATGCGGTTTCGTGCGACAAGGCGTCTCTCAGGGTGGCTGACGTTTTCCTCTTAGGAAAAAAGCCCTTCTTATTAAATAATGATTAAAAAAGAATTCGCAAATTCTTGCGATGCATAGGGGGAGCTCGCATATTTTTGCGATGCGACGTCACACCACTGTTTTATGTACGAGCCTTTATTTCTTCTCACTACATGAGCTGCTGTTTACATGTGAACATTAGTTCATGACGATACCTAAGTACGTGTGTCGCCTGGACAGTCAACCTCGCTACATCCTTGTTGAGTAGACATCTACACTACACATGAGCTGCTGTTTAGCTAAGGGATGTGAATATAAAAATAAATATAAACACTTAAAATTGTAATCAACTATTTTATTCATATTTAATTTAATATATATTTTTACAATAAATCACAATATTTTACTATAATTAAGCCAAACTATTTCACGGTGTTCTTATTTAATTCTAAAATACTTATAATTAAATTTTTATAAACATAAAATCAATTTTGAGCATTTTATATTATTTGTCCAACTTTTTGATACCAATTTGTTGCATAAATCAATTTTTTTATATAAATGAATTCTTTGGTTAAAATTCAATATAATTGGAAGAATAAACATGTCAATCATAATATTTTATAGATTAAAATTTATTCAAAACTGTTATAAAAATAATTAGGTATAATAATTATTTGTCAAAAATAAATTATCCAGAAAATTATTTAAGTAACATTAAATCGACAACAATGGAAAACAATGTCAAGCTGAAAACAACTTTAATTATAAAACAATAAAATGTGAATATAAATAGGAAGTAAAATATATTTTTGTTTCTCTTATAAATAAATGTACAATTACATTTCAATAAATTTCTATCATAAATATAATAATTGTGCTGTAAATATAATTAATACGTTAATTATTTTTTATATTTAGTATTTATTGGTGTTCATTGGAAGCTGTGTAAGCAAGGCTAATATATAATATAAATAGGACATTATATTAACATACTACCTCTATTATACATTTATAAACTACTTATAGTTTATTTATAAGTTATTTTTATTTTATAAGCTAAGTTAAGTGCCTCATTGGTTCATATTTTAAGCATTATTTATACAGATAATTATATGGCCCATACAGAACTTCCTCACGTAGGGATCAAATAAATATAAAATGGCATGTTTCCTTTTTTCAAACATAAGTGGGTTTGAGTCTCTAGTATCTACGCTCACTTAGAGACACAAATGGGTCTAGTAGGGCTGATGCCCGATATCTAACCTACCCTAACGGGTTGCCGGGGCTCCGGCTCGAAGAGCAGAAGTAGGAACGGTGTAGTTTTTAGCAAGTCTGACCCTCCCTTGCACCTAACCCTAGGCGGGAGAAGTCATTGGATGATTTTCCCCCTCAAAAAAGGATTTAAAATAAGATTTTAAGAAACTACGTTTAGAAAAGCCGACTTTGACCTCCTATGTTTTTGACGTCGGGTAAAAATAAAATTAATATACTGCTCCTAAGTGAATGTTCGGTTCAGCCAATCCCGAGATAATGTCGCGGAGAAACTAACGGTCTGACACTCCCTCCTGCCTCACCCAGGCGGGAGCAGTCATTCGATAATTTCCCCCCTTAACAAAAAAAAAATCCCGACATAATCGCAGACAAACTTACATAGAACATCATCATTATCATCATCATCATCAACAGCTGGAAGACGTCCACTGCTAGACAAAGACCTTCCCCTCAGTCCTCTACATTGAACGACAACTCATCACCTGCATCCACTGGCTCCCCGCAACTCTGGCGATGTCGTCGGTCCACCTAGCGGGAGGCCTGCCCACGCTTCGTCTTCCGGTCCGTGGTCTCCACTCAAGGACTTTCCTGGCCCATGTGCCGTCAGTCCTTCGAGCAAAGTGGCTTGACATCCATACAGGTCAAACTGATAACCTCCTACTTTTTATTTAAAGTCGGTCAATAAGGCTGTTTTACTTAGCTTATAAAATAAATACAAATAATATTTTTTATCTAGTATTCATAAACTATATTCTACAGTGAACACAGACATTATATTTGAAGCCTTTTTCATTACATTTATACATATATTTATTTTATGAACTATGCAACAACAATGAACAACGTGTGGAAAATTCTCTCAAAATGTTTTATATTATTTTTTGTGTTTTTGTCATAAATTGTCGGAACATAAATTATAGTAAAAATAATTTAGTTTTAGTTTTATACATTTTAAGGTTTATTTTCTGATATTTTTTATAATACGGAAAGTATTAGAAGATAACCTTGTGAATATATTTTTTTAAGCGTATAAGCATACTTTGTTGCACAAAGGGGGTAGACAGACATGGATATATTCCATCAGGTGATCCGTCTGTTCGTTTGCCTCCTATTATAAAAAAATGTAACATTCATTTTTCGTCAGTTAACTACCGTAAAATAAATTTTCAGTATGTAACATTATTGTTATAAATATAGTATTTTTATTAATTAATCTAGTTTCTATATTTATATCACTATTACAGGCAACCTTTTGCTTAGCTAAAACCTTTTTTCAAAACAATGTAATTTTTAAAAATATTTACATCAACAGCCTATAAATGCCTACTGCTGACCAAAGCCTCTTCTCACACGGAGAAGGTTTAAGCATTAATCACTACGCTTGCTCAATGTCAACCTTCTTGTTTTGAAATCGGTTAAAAATATCTACTGCGTTGTGATTTTTTTTTCTGTATAATCATATTAATCTTAATGTTTCTGTTGTTTTTTTCTAGAGGTATTTATGCGATCTGAACATCGCATAACGGTAAAATGGGGTGAATACGGTTTGAACGACAGAAGAGGGGTGAATCGATACTATGAAGAATTTCCTTATATCTATTTACCCCTCTTCTGACCCTTTTCGCCGTTCAGACCGTATTCAACCCATTTTACATTATATATTTTAAATAATTACATTGTTTCAAAAATAGGTTTATTAATATTATTATTTTTACTTATTATTTAACTAACGGCAAATAGGCATCTAGTAGATAATATATAACGGGTATATTACATTTTATTAAGGGTCGATTTTTCAATTATCAGTTGATTCTTGACTAAAGAATAACTTTGAATATTTGACAATTGGGTACTGTTTAATGTAATTTATTTTTGATAAAGCATCAAAAATAAATTATTTCGACTGGTCAATACAATAAAATGTTAAAAAAATAATCACACTTTTATTAATAGATTTTATGATCAACTTCATTTTAGTATTTTTTCAGCAAATTTTTAAGAAATAAGTAGCTACGCTGTTTGACGCTAAAAAAACGTGACGTCACAATACACAATCTTGTACAAAATTCATAGAAAACTGTCGTTTTTGACAGTTCGAAAAAAGTATTAAATATGACTAGTTGGCAAGTACCCAATTATTATGCATAGTAAAAACTCAACTGTCAATTTTATTCTACAGTTAAAAATTAACTGACGATTGAAAAATCGACCCTTAACTCGTCGAGTACCGGTTTTATAGACACAATTAAAGAACAATGGGTCGCGGTCACCGGTGACCGCTTGGTATTTGACAGTTTAAATTACAATATTGTTTATAATACTTTACTATGGTCGCACGTGCGACTGCCGGGCAAGGGGTCTCGGGATCGATTCCCGGCTCGGTCAAAGTACTACCAGGTTTTTTCAAAAAA